TGACTCTCTGATAAATAAATACAGTAGCCTATCAGGAAAAGTCACTTATCACTATCTTGATTCCTCCTGCACACTAAAACCATTAAAGTCGTCTTCTTCAGTGTCAGACTTTAACGGCCTCAGAAAAACTTCACACGTCTTCAGGCTCTCTTTTGGTGTCGCTCGCGATTTGATTTACGATTCACACTTATTTTGAGTGGCTGCAAATACTTTGTTGTGTACGACGAGAGGAGGGGAAACTCCCGCAGGAAACTCCTGGTTCGGTAATTTCATTGGTCAGTTTTTTTATCTTTATTTATATAAAGATATATATATATATATATATATATATATTATATATAGGAATCTCAATGAGTCATGAGGACCCACCTCACAAGAGAGATATGTATTGGGCAGCTATGTGAACATCCAGGTGTGACGAGGTGGCATGAAGCTCGTTAGCCCATCTAAAAAATAAATAAATCCATAAATTAGCCTCAGCATTGTTTAAACCGTGGTGTTCAAAGCCTGTGAAAAAAGTAGCAGATTATAGTCCAGAAATTATGGTAGTAGAGTTTTCTATGTTATGTCCCACCAAAATGATTTAACCCTTTAAACCTAAATCAACCAATTAATAAGTTAACCCATCCGTCCCTCCATCCATCTTTTTACCTGCATTTCTATCCACCTTCCTAGTGAGCTAATTCCTATACAGCAGCAGTTGGATGAGAGGTGGAGTACACGCTGGAAAAGTTTGCATTTAGTTGGCTTTCAAACAGATAGGGAAAAACCACTTCCATTTCTTTCTGACCATTATGATCTGCTGGTCTCCAGTCAAGCCAGTCTAGCTGAACATTTTCCGATCCGTCTGTTCAATCTCTGCACCCCTAAAATGTAATTCAAATCACATTTACAGTCTTTTTTATGGTTTTATCAACAAAACCTTGGCCAAATATTTACAAAAGGCAGATAAAGTGATGTTGATAATTTCAAGAGAAAGACCAATTTAAATTAAAATTAAGACAAAAAAAAAATCAGAAATGAACTGAAAGTTACACAACTGAGAAAACAAAAGGAGAAGAGGATGTTTACAGTAATATAAAAGTTGTAAAAATAAGTTTCAAACGCATATAAGCTAATTTATTTTCAACTACAATTATTGGTAGTTTAACGTAAGTAATATTTGATATCACATAATAGCTCCATATTTTTTTTCCACCCCTGCAAAAACCAGAGCAGATCATCCCACAGGGCAGTGTGCTGTATTAAGAAGTAAATGGATAAGTAGCGATGGAAAGAGATGAGAGGAAAGAGGATAAAAGGACAAAATGATGGGCAAGAGAAGAAAGGAGGGTGAAAGGGGACGTCTGAAGCAGTCAATTAAATCAAACGGGGAAAGGGATGAAAGGAAAGTGAAAGTAGATGTGAGAAAAGCAACAAAGAAAAAGTAAAAAATAAGTTCGGGACAAGCTGTGAGATAAAGAGATACCACCAGTAACTACACTGAAAGATGCTCTGTAAGAGAATCAAAGCAGCAAACTGGTTTTACATCAGACTAATGAAAGAAGAGGATCGAAATCTAAAGGTTTGTGGATAAAACTAATACTTTGTTCCTCAGCCATCACTGGTGAATTTGCAGTTTTGTGCGTCATTGTTTGGGTTCAATATGAATCAGTGTGGAGATTGATGAGGATATTTCTGTCCCAAAAGCTTTTTCTTTAACCTTCTTTGATGAATTTACTCCAGGTATAATGACTCAGTGGCCTGACTGAGCTTTGATGGATTTTGTTTAGCAAGTACCAACCTGCCAAACGGACAACCCATATTACAGACTGTATATTTTTGTCTGGTTGTCATGGAGTCTCCAGGGGTGATGGGCACATAAAAGACTCTGCATTCCCTGAATTAGAAGAGACTGGGCATGTTTAGACAACAGCCCAATTTCCTCCCAGCCTCAAATGTGGAATTGCTTTGTTGCGCTACAGAATGAAACTTCCTTTCACAATAAAAGTATTACGCTCAATGTAATATGAATGAGGAAAGCTAATGTGTTCAGGTTGCTTTTATTTGGGTGGTCAGGTATACTGTAAGAGAAAATTTTGAATTTATGGTTAAAAACAAGAACAACATGCAACGTGCTTACATAGCTGCCCACTGCTTCACCTGGGTGTCTCTTACATGCGATGGGTTAAATGCAGATAACTAATTTTGCCATTGTATGGGATCATACAACGATAACACATAGCACTTTGCTTTACTTTCTGTCCACACCATGATAAAACAATTTGAGCCCTGCTCCAACGCTGCAAGCCTTACTGTCCTTCCACTTGGTCTCTTGAACACAAACATCTACCTTCCTTCTCTGCATCATGTCAGTCAGCTCTCTACCTTTGCTGGTCATTGTCCCCACATTTAGTGTTGCCACCCTCAGTCCTACATTCTTGACTTTCCTCTTCTCCCTCTGTCTCCTGACACGTTTCCTCCTCATGGTCTTCTTTCTCGAGTGTCTGAATGGTTAAAATCCCTGCAGCATGAAGCATTTTTGATTTATTGTCTCATTAAAACAAACTTCCTCAAATAATTTGTTTAAAATAGACATTAAAGCTTGTTTTCTTTCCTTTGGGCATATAAGTCTTTTTTTACATCTTATTTTAGTACAATCAGATTATCATTTTATTGTACGTTGAAATGTTTATCACACTAATGTGATAGAGATTTTGATAAACAAAGACATAAACATTACAAATATTTCACAGCTAACACCATGTGCGATTTACCCCATCCTCACGTGCAAAACAACTTCACAGAAAACCAAGTTCAAGAGAGCGTTTAGCTGCATGTTTAGCTACAAAACTGTGATACCAGTTTGGTTTTTCAGGCCTCGTTTAAAGTTGCTAGCTTGGCTTAGCACACCAACTGGTGAATCATGTTTGTTTTTTTTGTATAACAGCAGTTCTCACAGTATAGTATTGTGATGTGACTGCAACGTTGTCTTTATTTAACTTGAGTCAGTCGTATTCTGTGCATCATTACACAGCCTGTGCAGAGACATCAGTGTTGTTAGTTTGATGGGATCCTTGCTGTCCCATCTCCCATTTTACACCGACTCACCAACGTGACTACCTCCCTTGCTGGCTCAGAGGTGTAACAGCAGTGGGTCAGATTCATCCATCCTTGGTTGTTACACACTTTACAGCAAGGCAGAAAAATATGTGTCCCAGGTCCTGCTTGAAGGGTTAATGTGCATTTCATTTGAAAGCTGGAATTTTTTTTTTTTGCTAACATTTTTCTTAATTCATATCTTCGATCTTATTACTGTTTTTCCTTTTACATTTTGTACTTTTACTGGATGCAAATTGGACCCTGTGTACACAGTTTTGTTCCGCCACATGTAGTACAAATTAAAATAAAGAAATGGACTGACTCTGAATTTCCGAGTTCCAATTTGCAATAAGCTGGAATGTCCCACCCAAAGTCTAAATTGTATTCAATATGGCTGCCTCGCACATACAAAAAGTGAAAGCTGCAGAAAAAACAAAACAACTGTTATTCTCTTCTGCTAATGTGCATTTCATTAAATCAATTGCACACATTTTACTGTACTTCCTGTTGAAGAAACAAGTTGTCACAGAGTTTGAATGCATAAAACACATGCATTACTAACATTACTGTTACAGAGTACAATTAGTACTGGTATTCCTACTTCTCTAAAAATCAGATTTCTGACTTCTGAGGGATACAGTACAACGTCTTACCATCCGATTCAGTCTCAAACTCGGCTAAGGAGGCAGGGGCACTTTGACACTTTGTGTGACACAGTGATGAGAAAATAGACGAGTGAATCGCAGTTACCTGCTCACTGTCATGCGTCTGAATGCTGTGGTTGGAAAGGGCTCTGGTTACACATTCCTCCTACATCAGATTTAGCAATAATATCTATTAAATAAATGTGCTTTTGCATGATAAGATGCTTTTGCAAGTTTGAAATGGCCCAAACTGGCAATTGGGAATCACTGCTTAATGACAGACAAAGTATTTTACACTTGTAAAGAGACCAAACCACCAGATAGATCTATACATCCTTTATACATAACACACTTTTTAAAAAGGAGCTTCCAAATCTCTTTGAAAGTTCAGCGAGAGCCTAAAAGCACCCCTGGTGATCCTGCTGTGCAGCTTCTCTCTAAATGCATGCACAATGCCATGCTTCATGTTATGAAGTGTTCTTCCTGCACCATTTACCTAATATACGGCAGTAAAATTGAATTTACTCGGTCACAACTGCTAAAGTGCGTGTGGATTGTTGCATTCCGAGGGATAGATTTATTGTTGCTGTGTTGTTCACAGTTTAAGTCACAGCTCTGAGTATCCATCATCTGTCTATGACTCAGGCGTTCCAACTCTTTTCCGAGTCTCTCTCTTTGTCGCTGGCCCATGTTTCATCACATTTTTATTGACAACTTTCAGAGTGCTAATGGGTTGTAAAGAGAAAACTGTCATCAGTTTAGTTTTGCTATGATCTCGCTCCACTTCTTCTGTTTCTTTGCGTTTATTGCCATCCTCTCCCCTTTTTTCCTCCCCTGCGGTGTTTCAGCTGGATCACCATGTTGGCTTGCTCAGCAGTTCCCCCTCTCTCCTTTCACCACCTTCCCCCTGTATTCTAATGACACTGCAGCACTTCAAGATGTTTGTATCTGTCCTTGAGAAAACCTTAGTCGCAGGTAATTTCTCCGACAGACAGCAGAAATAAATAATGCAGATCGCCTGGATGAGTGTCGAGTGATGAGTCAGAAAACGTTGCAGCTCGAGCAGTAATGGCAGGACAAAAGGGCACGGCCATGCATCATTTTCTTTGGCTGTTTGCAGATGTGGCCAATATTTTTCCCACAGTTTACTTCATAATAACCTAATAATGAGTCGGAGTGCACAGATTTATTCTTTTTTTTTTTTGCCGCAATGTATCTAAACTAATTTGAAATGTATTTTAAAGCCTTTTTTTCCATCTTCCTGTATCACTGCAGATGGGAAAGTATACGCCCTGGGCGGGATGGGAGCAGACACGACGCCTCAGTCTCAGGTTAGAGTTTACGTTGCGGAGAGGGACCAGTGGCAGATGGTGACCTCCATGCCTACGCCACGCTACGGAGCAACACCGTTCGTAATAGGAAACAGAATCTACATGATGGGTAGGATATGGAAACTTCATCCTCTTCATCTCTTTTGTGTTAATATTGCGACCGCTACAACATTTTAACATTCATTCAGCGAGTACTTACTGTAAAATAATGATATTAACATGCAGCTTCAATACGGTGAAAACAATAAAAGTAAAAACAGTTTGGCATGTGTGTTGCTCAGAGGAACACCTGAAACCAGACACACGGGGGAAGGCTTTTAAAAGAACTAAAAAAGTAGTTTTATTTGAATTTGGATGAAATAAAAAAAAAAAAGTAAAAGCCCAAAACAAAATATCCGAGTTAAGCTGGAAAAAAAAACATTTATGACAAGTAGTGTCCCAATACCAGTACCTGTTACCAGCCTCAAGTACTCATACTAGTACTCATAGAAACATCCTAATTCTTCCGATGCCACTTTTATACTTGTTGATGTCATTTATTCTTCCACTTTGCAAGTAACCAAGGACAAAAATAAAAAAAGCACATCCATAACTTAGAGATAGTTTAAGATAAAACACAGATGATGCCAAGACAAAAGACAGTATGTTGTGTTCTTTGTCATACACACATGTGGTGGAATGTAATTATGTACACAGGCTCCCAGTTACATCCAACAAAAGTAGAAAATGTAAAAGAAAAGCAGTAATAAGATCTAAGACACAAAGTAAGAAAAATGTTAACTAAAAATACGCTAAGCATTAGTAATATTATAAACAATAAACAATACGCCGAACAGCAGCACGAACATGAGTCTATGTGAGCAGATGAGCACGAATGAACACAGCAGCATGAAACAGATCAGCAGCAACATGAAACAGATCAGCAGCAGCAGCATGAAACAGATCAGCAGCAGCAGCATGAAACAGATCAGCAGCAGCAGCAGCATGAAACAGATCAGCAGCAGCAGCATGAAACAGATCAGCAGCAACATGATGTGATTTTTTCACAGTGATTATTCTGGTTAGAGATTCGTGAGTCTAACAGCCTCAGGGTAGAAGCTGTTCCTCAGTCTAGTGGTTCTACACTTAATGCTCCTCAACCTCCTTCCTGAGGGGAGCGGTGTGTGTGCTGGGTGTGTGGGGTCCTTCATGATGCAGGTGGCCCTCTTCCTGCATCTGGACGTGTAGACGTCTGATGGTGGGGAGGCTGACTCCAACAGACTTCTGTGCAGCCTAATAAAAGAGTGTTTTTAAAGTCATTGTGTAAGGTTAAAGTACTTAAAAGTACTAGGAGTGTACGCAGTAGTGTGCTGACTTGTCAAGTCAGTGAGGAAATCTACAAAACACCACTGAACAGAAAAAGGAGAAGATCAGATGGAAAAAAACATTGTTGTCCCTTATGTTGCTGAAATATCTGAGAAACTCTGAAATGTACTGGGACGTTGTGTTTGGAGAAAATCCTTCTAACCCAGCAGGACTCTCAGACCGAGGCTGGTCCACCCCAAGGACAAAACACCCAAACACAGACAGAGTGGTGTGGTGTCTGCAGTCCAGTGCAGTGAAGAATGTCCAGATCTCTATATTGGAGAAACCAAACAGCTTCTCCACAGACGTATGCCACAACACAGGAGAGCCTCCGGACAAGACTCAGCTGTTCACCTGCACCTCACGGATAAGGGACACTCTTTTGAGGACCAGAATGTTCACATTTTGGACCGAGAAGACGAATGGTTTGAGAGTGGGGTGAAGGAAGCAATTTATGTAAAAAGAGAGAAACCATCTTTAAAAAGAGGAGGTCTCAGATTTCAGTTTTCAAAGACCTGTAATGCAGCTTTAGGCCTGATACCCCGTCAGTTTCACACCTATCAACACCTTTACTCGTGTGACCAGAGTGGCCCAGGGAGTGACCCCACACGTCCTCTTCTTTGGATTGAGAAACTCCTCGGATGAGAAGCGGAACGTGTTCAGTTTTTGCTTTTAATCTTTTTTGGCGTTAAAGTACTAACTCATTAACTGCTCGGTATCGGTACTCAATACCGACAAGTACCCAAACTAAAATTACTTGTACTCGGTCCGAGAAAAACTAGTAACGGGAGACCTTTATTTTTTAGAGTACATCTTGAAAACAGAACACTTTTCTTTTAGCAGTAAATGTGCCCCGTCATTATTCATATCATGTTTGTGGGGTGGGGAATTCTTCTGAAGTGGGATTCTATGGAAACAACAAATTGGTCCACATGACTTCAGGGAGTAATAGTTGATTAAATACACAAATGCTACAACTTACTTGCCAATTAAATAAAGTTTCAAGCTTGTAATTTAGGTTGAAAGTTTTAAATATTAGCCTCTAAAGTTTAAAATAAAAAGACAGATAAGCAAACGGGCTGAGATTCCTTTAAAGGAAAGGGGAAAGACGATGCTCTTGTGACTCATGAGCCAGCCATCTTCAGACCGTTTGTCACTTCAGTTTTACGATTAGTTCTGTGAATGCAACCAGAGAACGAGTCTGTCTGTTGGTCGGTGAGCCCCCGGTCTTTCAGCAGGCCCAGAGAACGTTTCGTCTAAAAAACCGCCTGAAGGCAAACGCTGTGGATAAGCAGGTCCAGCCCAGAGGTCAAAGTGAAAAACTGACAAGTGATGAAGGTTAACGCGGAGCTAAATACACTAATGTTTATGGGATCAGGTGTGGGGGGAAAATGAAGACAAAAAGGACTGAGCAGGAAAATTAGAAGTCAAGTCATAAATAACCAGTAAAAATTAATAAATCTGTCATGTTTTTCTGCACAAAACTCGTTCTGCAGCTATTTAAACAATCGGTTCGTCAGAACGTTCGGCTCATTCAGGATTTTCCTTCTGTGACTTGTGGTGTTTGTGCAGTTTTTACTTTTTTAAAATATTTATCTTTTCCCTCATTTAAAATGAACGGAGCTCTCTTCACATCCTTCAAACTCTTTGGGCTGATTAAAACTTTTTACGGCTCATTTCAGCTTTTGTTCTGCTTCGGCTCCTTTCTGCTAATTTAGGCCTTTCTGTTCCTTTTCAGCTTCCTTTTGCTAAATTCAACTTATTCTTGCTTTTTCTATCTACTTTTGTATTTTTTCCCACTAATTTCAGCCTTTTGTGCTTCTTTTCTAATGATTTGAACATGTTATTGTCCTTTCGGCCTTTTTCTACCAATTTAGGCCTTTTCGGTTCTTTTCATCTTATTTCTGCTAATGCACTCTGAATTGTTGGAGTTTTTGTTTTTTTCCACAGATGCCATTATTCTATTTTCATTTTAGACATAAATAAATTCCTCTAGTTTAAATTTCTATACTGCCTAACAAATTTCTCTTTTTTTAAAAACAATATTTTTAAACTTCACTAAAAGTGAATAAGCATTTTTGAAAATAATAAAAAGTAGACGTTCTCAAAGGAATGCATATCTTCTACTTCCCTGCATGCCAAAGTTTTAAATGATCTGACAGTGCTTAGACTATGTGTTTGGTATGAGTATCAGCTACTACCACACCAAACTGTAGCTCAATAAATGTCAAATTGAATGAATTACAATCATTTAAGTGGCAGCTAATTTATAATAAATTAACTCCCAAAGTAGCCTGACTCATCCTTGTTAGACTCCCAAAGTATTTCTTGATGGAGTTCCTTCAGTTGAACAGTTTAAATGCTTTAAGGGTTGCAGACCGACAGCGTTTCAGTCCAGATTGAACCTCGTCAGGACTCGAGTTTCTCTTCTAAACAGAAGCTGCCTGCATAAAGCAGTTGCCTCGCTGACCCTAAAGCAGCGTTTTACAGCTCGGGCTTATGTTTTGGACCCTCTGATCACGTGACCCATCAGTTGTTTAATCGTGTGGGGCACCAAAGGTGATGTCCCGGTGGATTACTGGCTCGACAAAACATCTGTCTTTACTGTGGTTCTGCATTTCAAACGGAGCTGTCAGAAACATCAGCAGAGCTTCAACCTTTATCATTCATCAAAGTGCCATCGGGTTTGTTAAGGCTAGCCGTCAGTTCCCCCTGTGGATTGATGGGATACCTTCATGCAGGAGAACATCTCCTCCCAGGAAAGGACACGGCCGTGTGCTTTACGTTAGAATGTCCAGATCAACACGACGCTGGATCTCGCCCTCTGTTTTTGTACGGAGGACATTTAAACGTGCAGAAACTAAAAAACTAACACCTTTATGAGAAATGTTTTGAACTTTTATGAGAACTCACTGATAAAAGAACAAATCCCAGATAGCAAAAATGTTTCTTACAATCATAACAGTGATATAGAGCTTAGAGCAGAGCCACGTGGTTCTAAGCTTTTTGTTTTGTTCCAGTGGTGTAGTCTACGCGATACGCAGATATACGGAGTATACCCACTGGGAAAGCTTAAGATTTCAGTATACCCACTTAAAAAAGTGCCCAGTGATATGTAACATATCATTAGGTATGTGCCATTGATACGTTAAACGGTAGTTAAATGTTTCTGTAACAATATATCAGTATGCAACGCTTGTTTAATACATTTGCTTATCCAGCAAATTATTATATAATTCTGCACTTACTACTTAATACTTTAACATGTTTTGCTTTGATACCGTTTTACAGGTATTTTTTAGTACAAATTCAACTGTTGTACAAAGTTTGTTGTTCATTTATTCGAATATAAGCATCAGAGAGATTTTGAAATGTTCAATATGCTGAAAAATCTAAATAAATTGGATTACGTTGTACTAAAATATAACGTACATTAATTTCTAAGCACAGTATACCCACTACAAAAATGTACACTACACCACTGTTTAGTTCCCACGGTCACAAAATGTTCATAAAAATGTTTCAAATCTCACCTGTCCAGTCTTATATTTTTATATTAAAAAGGTATTTATTGTTCCTTTTTATGTCTTTTGCCAACTTGCTTTGCAATAGTGCATGTGATACCAAAGAAAATCTTTTTTGGGGTCTGCCTGAAGGCAGCCTCCTATTATTATCCACCTGAAAAGGGTCTTGCTCGTCCTTCAACTTTAATGTGCCCCCCCCCCACAAATTCTATATCAAAACGACCGGCTCGGTGCCGTGATG